GTCTCGGCCCGACCTTGTTCCATCTTTTCGCGAAGGACACCCCCGAAGCTTCCACCGCATTGTAAATTCTCGCTTTATCCAAATGACCTTAAGCTATTCTAAATGGCTATAACATCGAGTAACGCGTTGCGCATACAACGGGGCTTAAATATGCTTTGTGTTCGATGTGGCGGAATTGGATTATTCCTGGAGTATAATGGTACGTTGTATCATGGTGTTTAATCTTCCGAAAACAAAAGAAAAGGAAAACATTTTGCTCGATCGCTGTATATAAAACAACGATGCTCGAGAGGGGTAGGTCAAGCGATTTACGCAGAATCGATCGTTCGCCAAACATTATCGAGATACATTGGACAAGACGTCCACGGCTTCCTGGATCACACTTCCGTCAACTTACGTAAGCCCTGCCATATTTTAAAGTGTTCCGACTTTCAAAGTCATTAACCTCGTTGTAATCTGTAGCTTTGGAGGATAACCAGTTTAATACAGGACTGGAAAGCTTGTATCAATTACTTGATTTTATGAACTCATTTACACGGAGTGAATGAGACAGACCATCCGATTAACTTCCTTATCTTAGACATAGAGGAAATAGAAATTCCGTAGGATCATACTTTTTTTATCCAAGTGGATGTACCGAAAACAGTTCAAGACTACTCGTCACTTTTAATCCATTTAGAACATCCATAAGATTATCCTTCTGAGTCAAAAACAAGTCTAGACCACCAATTATTTTTAATTCAAAGTAACATCTACAGGTGAAGGCTACTCAAGGCTATCGAAGGTTATGCACAAACGAAAATATTTATTTTCGACAAAAACGTAAGACATCTGGGCATTGCGGTGCAAATTTTTTAATGTTTCTTTGTTGATGCTTGCGAGCCTTAATTAGGAGCCAAATAAAAAGTTGTATAGGTGTCCAGTTAAAAAAATGTTTGGTAACCTTCGACTGACCCTGGCGCTTCCTCCTGGTGTTAAAATCGTAACAAAAAATGGCAGCAAACGGTGTCCACTTCGAAACGAAACAAGTTCCACCAGAAACATGTATCTCTATGTTTCGGGATAAAGAAATTATTCAGGTGGCCTGTTTCCATAGTTTGTCCTTGTGTCGAAGTAAAAAGGAAGACCATAAAGACCTCTTTTTATTCGACAACTTCTACGTCTTCGACGCCGCGATAATCCGTGAGATTTTTCATTTCGAAATTTTCTTCCGTCCGGGAGCTCCAGGTGAAAGTAGTGCAATCGAGTGAAAGTCAAATTTATAACACGAAGCCCGTAGGATCACAGATGATTAATTAAACGGATCAACAGGTTAATGAAGAGTCTAAATGAACGTCTGCTACCTGAATTCTTAAGACAATATCAAAGAATGTAGAATTACTTAATTCTGAGTAAAAATTTTCCCTTCGACTTTGAAATTTCCAAAACATCCCCCACTTATAAATAAAGGATGTGCACTGCCCAATGTGCGCCTTCGAATCGTGCAACTTTTGTCCAGAAAATTGTTTGAACAAGCTACTGTATAAAATACAGTGCATACATTAGAAGTAAATCAACGTGGTAAAATTTCGTGGATCACCCTATATTTTTCAACAAGCTCGTAAGACGAATACAACGACCCGCGGGTTCAAGGTTACCCCAGAGTCGCATTAATACCTCGCCGCGTCGATAAATACCGGTTCCCGTGAGATTTCAATTTGATATCCCCGTAAAAATCGCGATCGATGAGAATTAAAGTCCGTTCACGCTTGCACGTCGAACCACCTTCTATCCGATTGGACTTTTCCGTCGCGCACGAAACTGTTCAAATATTAAAATTAAACTCGCGGCGAGACGTCGAGGCAAGAACTGGTTTGCAACCGAACGGATACTCCCAATCGGTTATCCGTAGATGGAAATCTCTTACAGCTCGGTAGCGCGTTTTACCGCGAAATTAATTATCTCTAACTTTCACTCCTTGTCGCGAATAAGAGCAAGCATACTTTCGGTCCGCGAGCTTCGCGAGATACGAATCGCACGATGAAACGGACATAGGTGTCAGCTTTACGATCACGTCGAGTGCCAACTTGACTATAACACCTAATGCGCCACTCAGACCTGTATTATTTTTTTTTTTAAATTACTATGAAAAAGAAAAATTCCTAATTTTGTACTTTTCGAGAAAAACTGATCTTTCTTCGTGTGCACGAATAAGGACAATCTAATAAATATTTATTTAGGCGGCATCGATATGCAAATGTTTGAAGCTGATCAGAATTTGGAGCAGTATGAATTTCTCTATTTGAAACACTTAGTTGAGTGATTAATCTAATAAATATTTATTCAAACGACATCGATATGTGTAATATGTTGTAATGTGAATGTTGAATGAATGTTAATTGTGATGTATTATAGCGTGAATATTGAATGAATGTTAATATTTAAAACCACTAGGTATGTTTATACGTTTTATAGTTGTCAGTTATGTTTGTGTTAGTAATTTATCAATTATTCATTCGTTTTGTATTTTGTATTGCGATTTGATTTTGTCTATGATATGTTGTCTGTTGAATATTGACAGTTTCACGCCGAACCTCGATATAAATATCCACAGTTATAAAACGTATAAACATACATACATGGTTTTAAATATTAACATTCATTCAACATTCACATTACAACATATTACATATGCAAATGTTTTAAGCTATCCAAAAGGTGGAATAGTTGTTAACCGACCTAATGATTATTGCACCGATACGTTCGTTCCAAGCACGCTCCGTTGGCGTGGTACCCAATCAAATCACCTGGCGTCGCTGCGATCGTGATCGTCAGGCCCCTCGGCTATGTTGGGGCCCCGCATTCCACCTGTCAGAAGGTGGGTCCGTTCTCTCGCAAACCGTAAAGGAAGCGAACGAACCCCTAACGGACGGAAAACGAATAGCGTTTCAAAAAACTTCTTTCCCCCTCAAACCGTACCATCGGGCATTTTGCGTAAAACGATCGTTTTCAATATGGCAGTGGGCATTAGGTCCCCCCGTCCCGCTATTCTGTCTACATACCTCTCTAATGTCCATTTTCCGCGAACGATTCGCACCGCATCCCTGCTCGATTCGTTGAGAACGTTCCGGCAGGAGGTATCGTTCACTGATAACGATCGATCTAGATCCTCGAGGGGAAGTTATATGTTTATGTGTTCCCTGACCAGCCAGATCCTTCGCGCTGGATACCACGCGTGGGTCTGGAATGTAAATGGTCTCGACAAACGAGATCGAGGAATCCACGAAAGAGTGTACTCCGATTTTGACGACTACTCGCGCACAATCGTCGATACGACGCGGTGCTTGTATCGCTACTGGCAAACCGAACGATGCTACAGGATCAATCGCGACGGGAAATTTCAAAGGAATCGTTGCCCCAGCAACGTTCGCCACGACAACATAACTGGACACCGGTAGGTAGGGGAACTGATCCGTGGAGGTACCAGGGGGTCCAAGCTCGGATGTAATACCTTGAATCCACGTTCTTAGTTAGAAGGAGACAGGTAGGAGGCGCTAGTAGTCGTTACAAATATACATACTGTGAGCAGGGCCGACGTGACCTTTTGCGGGGCCGGGTTCAAAAATTTTGCGGGGCCGGGTTCAAAAATTTTGCGGGGCCTAAATTCACATTCAAATTCTACACTTCAATTTAATTGGGTTTTCCGGAAAGTTCATGCCTATTTTTAAGAAAAATTCAAAGGCATATTTGAATGTTAATGTACAGGGTGTCCCAAAAATGTTGTAACACATTGAAAGAGGTGGTTCGGGAGGTGATTTGAAAAAACTTTGTCCTTAGCGAAAATGTTGTCCGAGGCTTCGTTGAGGAGATATTAACGGAAAACATTGACCAATCAGAGCGCGCGGATACCGTTGGAGCGGCCGCGGTAGCGAATGACCGCGGCCGCCTATCGCGTAGCCTACGCTCCACCGGCATACTCGCACTCTGATTGGTCAGTGTTTTCCGTTAATATCTCTTAAATGAAACCTCGAAGAACATTTTCGCTAAGGAAAAAGTTGTTTCAAATCATCTCCCGAACCACCTCTTTCAATGTGTTACAACATTTTTGGGACACCCCCTGATCGATAGATCAATAAGATCCAAGCACAGATATATCGAATCCATGATTTCAAATAAAAAGTGTGAGGCTAGATGAGGAAGATTTGCAACGAAAGATGGAGATATATACGAGAGATCTAAACACCTACTAAACTAACTACATACCCAGGATATCAGTGAGTACCATCAAAGCTACCACGAGTATGACGATACCACCGTTGGTAAACGCGCTAGTGTCGCCATCATGCGTAGCGACCTACAAACCGATTGCTATCAAATAGAGTGATGGTAAATGAGTATTGTAATTGACTGAACTTTGGATACCATTGGAGAAACAGTGAGGATTTTACGATTTTATGATGTTCGGTGAACTGCAAGAAGAATTTCTGAAGCATGAACTGAAACATAGTAAACAGAATTTGATAAAGTTTGGTTTTTCAAACACGCCAAGTTCATAATTTTTTGATAGTAGGAACAAGATTGCTGAATTAATGTTTCCAATTCCAATTTCGATGTCTCAGTTGAAAATGTTTTCCGGATTTATTGTTCTCAGATGTAGAGTACGTTTTAGAACAATTCATTTTTTTACGCAGTCGGTATATCTAGACGCAGGACACGATCGGTAAAAGTTAGAATTAAATATATGTCGCGAACTGGGTTATTTATTTTGGAACTAATACAAATTTCAATTAATCTGGATTGTTCTTTGCATGAGAATTAAATGTAAAGAACAATATTTCTTTCGATTATTAAGATCAACAACAAATCAACAAGGAGTTTGTACATTGATGTATACTATGGGCCTATGGACCTAAGAACGTATTCTTATATAATAAAAACTGTATATATTATTTAATAAACGAAAATATATTTAATAGTTTTCCTTCATTCTCATTTGTATTGATGTATTTTATCGTTGAACACTTATGACATTGATGTACCTAACCTCATTAGCAAAGTTATTAGAAGCACGTGTAGCATAGTGTTACAAAGGTACAACATGGCAACAATAATAGAGTTAATTAATTTTTACGATCATAGTTCAAAAGAATATGACAGATTTTTGCAAAACTTAATTTGTTCTAACGGAGATGTTCCATTTAGTATAGAAGAGGTAAACAGAAATTTTTCAAATTAACCTTGTATTTTAAAGCTTAAGTTTTCGTGGAGATCTTTTTGTCACTATTAATTATAAAATATTTATAAAATATCTTTTTATCAAATGTAAGATTTTGGTTATAGGTTGATGAAGCACAAAGTATAATTATATCAACTGTTAATAATTATTTAAACCGATCACAAACACGATATAATGGTTTATTAATTTTGGATAAGATTTTGTCCCAATGTTCAAAAGATATACTTCTAAAATATTGTATGTTATGGATGTCAAAAGCTACACAAATATTAGAAAGTATTCATAGTGCACCACAAGAACTAAGTATCTCTTGTAAAGTTCTTGGACAGTTAATTATACAAACTAAAAATATTTCTGATATACAAAAACAAATATCAATGCAAAATGTAAAACAACTTGTTAATGCTATTGGAAATTTAAGTCCAGAAAAAAATAGTGGTCCAATCTATTATTTGCTTGCTGTGTTATTGCATCAATATCCTGAAGTCTGCGAACGTTTTCAAGTAATGGAACTCTTTTATTACGATAAAGAAAAAATAATAGATGGGACATATTAAAGTTTCCATTTTTTCAGATTTCCATTAGAAAAATTATTTTATTACAAATTGATTCAACTCAGGAGAATTTGGTTAAAACGAGTGCAAAGTGTTATGCTCTTCTAGCTCAAGCAACAGAGCGTTCGTTTAAACCACCAGTTTCAAAACCCTCTTATACTGGTTGGTTATATCACCAAGCACTTATTTGTAATAATTTACACACTATAATGGATGTGTTGTTTTCTAATTTGATAGAATTAGAAAATGTAAGCATCTGGGATAAGCTAGACTTACCAAATATATCAGAGGAGAATATTATTCAATTCTTTTTCAAACAAAAACAAAGATTTTTGAATTTATGTTCTTATTTAGCCTACATGCTGCAGTAAGTGAGTTTTATTTGAATATACATTAATGAAGTACTATTGTATGTATGATATCTATTTTATAGGGGGTTTGACAAAAAAAACTCAGTATTTCCTCATGAGATTTTGAAAATTTTATGTAGAGGGTTGGCAATACAGCCTTCAAATTTGAAAAATCGTAACTCGATCAGAGAACAGATGCTATATTTGATTTTACCACAATTACATATTGCACTATTCAACGTTTTGGATGCATTAATAGATGGGTAAGAATGCATTCAAACAATGGTTTAATAACATTGACAATAGTATTTATCAGCTTGAAATATTTAGATTTAAAGAACAGTTAATACCATTTGGTTCAACAATATTACAACTGTTTCTCCAAACGTTACAATGGACAGAGATTGTTTCAGACAATCACATAACCATTAGTGGTAATAAGCCATTCAGAAACGTGAGAATATCTGTTTATAAATGTCTTACATCTTGGCTTGTAAATACTAATTCGTTATCAGGGGTAGAAACAGTAGCAAATGAATGTCTTCCTTCTATATTGAAAGATATAGTACCAGAAAAAGATCGTGTTTTATTGACTGTAAGTTTAAAATATATCAAGATTTTATTTTAATAAAATATGATTTCAACTACTGCTAATGAGCAGATATTTCAACATATGTGTTATAGATTCAGAAAACCAACAATTTATCAAAACGAGCGTTAAAACGTCTTCGAGATAGTCAGTATGAAAAGGGTACATATTTGAATAATAATGGAATAGCTTCTAGCAAAGAATACTATCTGGACGTGGATGTCTGTAAAGAGGCTCTTATTACTTTGCAAAATATATTTTTTAATAGTGGAACTCTTTTAAAGCAAACGTTCTTTAGAGTAAGTTTTTTATTTACCTGTAATTATTAAATTCAATAATTAATACAATAACAATGATTCTTTTCAGACTGTCCAAAATATTATAATACCTCTTTTATATGACTGTTATTTGACTTCTAATGAACAGAAATTTTATAAAGACAGTTCCAAATGTCGTTTACTATTATTAAGAGTTTTGAGAGCTTTGCAAATGAATCCACATTCTTTAGTGCCTTTACCTACTCAATATTCTCTAGAAATATTTCAAATGGCTTTAATCGATAGTAATGTATGCATTACTCAAGAGGCTAAAGTAGCATTAGCAGAACTTGAGAAAATTGTGCACCCTCATGCACCATCTATACAATTAACTCAAGTGGAGTAAGTTATAAGAATGTGCATCTATTTATAAATATTAATATTACAAGTATTATTGTAATATATTATACGTTAAATTACGTATTTTTTAGAACGATACAAGAGCAATTTGTTGTTAGCGACCAGCATATGGAACAGACTGAGGTATTGGAAGATGTGCTCCCACTTGATGCTGAAAATATTACAGATGATACGCTGCCGTCGTCAAATAAAAAATTAAAAATAATAAATTCTGATGTTGATGAGACTGTGGAATCTGTTATAAATGTTACTGATGTACCAAATACCGAACCAATCAATCAATCATAATTATAATATTATCCAAAATTGTTTTAACATTATTGTCTATAACCTCTCTACAATATTATTTATAAGATGAACATTGATCATTTATTCTAATACAATTTATCTAAATAACTTATAGAGTGTTATAACTTGAATTATTTCAATATGTCGAGGTCTTGAAGTAATACTAATAAATAAATTGATTTCACTAAAGTTGCTAAATGAAATGCTCCATTACTAGCTGTAGCTATCATCCAGCGTTTCTTCCTTGTAATAATATTTAGTTCAAAAATATATATATTAATTTAATAAAATTTGTTTGATCTGTAAAGTGGAACAAAAAACATATGACAAGAAAAAATAAAAATGATAAATAGTGGATTGTTTCATTCAAATATTTTGGCGGGAAGCAGTGTAGCCAATTAGTTACGTACGACAGACCAACTTCCGGCAACTTCTGCCTCTGTTTGATGTCGGGTTCACTTGGTATGTGGCCTGTAATTTTCTTCCTCTTGAAATCCGCTAATATAAGTAAAATTAAAATACATCTAACGTAAAGAAGTTATGATTAGAGAAGTTTGGTCGATTCTCTAGACGTTCTAATAAATATATTTAATTTATTAAGAGAAAATAGTATTACATTTATATAGTTTCATTTTGAGGTTATATTGTGCAAGTTACAGTCCATAATGTCACGTTTCGTGTTGCTTTCAGTGCTACAAATAATTAATTAATTTAACGTATTGCATTACTTTTGCGTAGGTATTAAACCATGGGTCGTGTAATTCGTGCTCAGCGTAAAGGAGCTGGGTCTGTCTTCAGATCTCACACAAAAAGGAGAAAGGGAGCACCAAAACTTCGTTCTCTTGATTTCTCTGAGAGGCATGGATACATCAAGGGTGTTGTTAAGGTTTGTATACTGTTTAAAATTTAGAAATGTATTGAATCCTTTAATCGTACATTGACGTGAAATACAACTGTGATGAATTCTAGTACTGCTTTAACTGAATACAAATGAAGAGTAAACACTAGAGGCTCTTTCTGATGTGTTTCGTCTGTTTCATAAGATAACACCAGTTCCAGTTAACTTGTTGTAATACTTATTTATTTTTTCTGTAGGATATTATTCACGACCCTGGTCGTGGAGCACCCTTAGCAATGGTACATTTCCGTGACCCGTACAAATTTAAAACACGCAAAGAATTATTTATTGCCCCCGAAGGAATGTACACTGGACAGTTTCTTTACTGTGGAAAAAAAGGTAAATAAGCTTCTGTATGTTAAAGTTGTATGTTAAAAACATTTTTACTAAGAATAAAATGTCTATTGCAGCGAATCTTCAAATTGGAAATGTGATGCCTGTTGGTCAAATGCCTGAAGGTACCATTGTTTGTAATTTGGAAGAAAAAACTGGCGACAGAGGTCGATTGGCCAGAGCATCAGGAAATTATGCCACAGTTATAGCTCACAATCCTGATACAAAGAAAACTAGAGTTAAATTACCATCTGGTGCCAAAAAAGTTATTCCATCGAACAACAGGGCAATGGTAGGAATTGTTGCTGGTGGTGGACGTATCGACAAGCCGATTCTTAAAGCTGGTCGTGCTTATCACAAGTACAAGGCAAAGAGGAATTGCTGGCCTAAGGTACAGTATTTGATAATATATAATATGTAATGTACTAGCGAATAATGCCAATGATGTTTTCAGACATTTGAAACCTGAATAATTTGTTGAAAATTTGTTTACTGAGCAAATCCAACTATACCATGCGTTAATACCATCGGTGTATCGTATTTGAAACATTTTTAATATTTGCAGGTTCGTGGTGTTGCTATGAATCCTGTTGAACATCCTCATGGTGGTGGTAACCATCAACACATTGGTAAAGCATCGACAGTTAAACGTGGAACCAGCGCTGGTCGTAAGATTGGTCTTATTGCTGCGCGTCGTACAGGAAGAATCAGAGGAGGAAAAACCGACACCAAGAAGGACGATTAGATTAAATGCTGATTAAATTTTGGAACTTACGCAATAAAAACACTAAAAAAATGACTATTTGCGTATCAGTTATTTGTATCTTATGTCAAACATATTAACTCCATTGAAAATTTGAATTCAAAAAGTATCGAATAATTATTGTAATTTAAAAAAAATATTTAGTATGATATGGTCTACTCAAGAAAGAAGTCTAAGCCTAGCTTCGCAATTTACTCTAAACATTTAAATGTTGTCGATATCTCGAATGCGTATTCAAGGAAAGTAAATTAAAAGGGTAACGCAAACATGTTCAAGGTTACGTTTTTATAGCATGTGTAAGATACAAATCTACAATTTGAAATTTTAATACACGAGAATAATGGGAACGACAAACGCCTAGGAAATTGCCCAGTAGAGTGTGCTCCGTTAGTTTTCGCAATATCCGGCGGAAACAAGCTGTCAGCCATCTTGCTAGCAGTATTTCGGCGCTCGGCCATTTTTGTTGCGTCGACGTCAAGTGTGGCCAGAGGCCTTTCATAGTAGTCCAGTCTTCGAATTTCCTTTGCATCGAAGTAGCGACAGGCAGAAACTGTAATTATAATTAACTTGACTTAATCGACGAGTTTCGTTCGTAGATCAGCAGGGAACGAAAGGAGAGAGGATAAGAGCGAACAATTGAAATTTTTTTGCTTGGTGATTGTCTAGGCGAGAGAAACAGCTAAAGAGCTTCTGCGGCAGAGCCACGAAAAATACGCACCGAGGCGGAGTAATATGAGTAATGCAGCCAACCAGAATGGATCAGGTCTAGAGCAGCAGGTAAAATCTAGAAACAGTATTAGTGTCATGTATTACTGACAACCGTTGTTTCGATGCACCATCTCTCTTTCCTTCCTTTCTATTCGAGTATCTTATTGTTCGACCTCATCAGTGAATTCGTGTAACGTGCAACGCATTCGTAGGTGTAATTTCATAACCTATCCCTTTCCGAATTGTTTAATCTCGCGATATTTTTTCGTACATAAAAAGCATTATAGACTAGGGTCGTTCGTCGATTTCGTTTGTGACGTACAGCTTTGTAATGGCGGCAACCAATTCTGAGAACAGCATGCCTTGTGCCATGACGCATTCGCACGTTGATTTTTTATCGTGCTCGATATCTCATTCTTAGTCGAATTATACGCGTTATACGCACTTTACACCTTTCTTTTTTACAGTCTATTTAATCGATTCCATAAAATTACACATTTATCGCATTTCCAAATTTTTATTTAATAAGCATGATTATCTATGTGTAAACAGTTTACAATTGTAATATTTTTAAATCAGTTAACGGAATTTTTAACATGATATTTGCACATCCTATCTTTGATGAATCAATTACCAGCCCAGATTGGTTAACATGTTAATGATACTAATTATGAGGAGGAGTGATTTTACAAATTAGATGTCTTACATTTCAGTTAGCTGGTCTGGACTTGTCGGGCTCCCGCCAACCAAGTGGGGGCCGCTACATACCACCACACCTACGAAATAAATCTGGAAGTGAGTGTCAGTATTAAGATTTACTATATTTATTATTATCAGACATGCATATTTATATTTTTATAGCATATTGACTCTTGACTTTAAAGTAGAAAATTAAATTGTAAGAATTTACATTGAATTTAGTTCATGTATACATTTAAAATGAAAGAATCATTGTAATGATTTTCAATTTAATACTAAGTTTTCATGATGTAGAGGTTATTGCTACTGAGAGAATTTGTGAGTCAGTAGTACCTCTTGGTAATACTGTCTGTATTATCCAGAAATATTGATGATAATGAAATAGTAGAAAAAACTGTATCAGCAATTATTTATAGGTAACGTGCCTTCTGGCGGAGAACATCATTCTTCTTCCAACTCAAGATCATATTCTGAACGAGATAGAGGAGGCGACCGTGTGCGAGACAGGGAAAGGGAGCGAGATCGTGATGGCGATAGAGGAGGTTCAGGGTATAGAGGGCCAGAGCCACAGCAACGAAATTCTCGTGATGGCGATTTTGGAAACTTTGGAAATTTTTGTGCACGCAACAGGCGTAGTGGCAATCAAGAAAATGGAAGAGATTATAGATACTCCAATTCCGAACGCGAACGCGAACGTGATCGCCCGGTTAGCTCCGGTAATGATCGTTGGCAAGAGCCTAGAGGAGGAACAGGAGGTCGTTGGCCAGAGAATAGGAATGATCATAGAATTGGCAGCGGCGGCGGCAACGCCGGTAGATGGAAGGAGGATAGAGACGGAGGAAGAAGAAATTCCGAAATTGACTGGACAATTCCCACTAGCAGGGATGAGCGTCTGGAGTTGGAGCTATTTGGTACTGGGAATACTGGCATTAACTTTAGTAAATATGAGGATATCCCAGTCGAGGCTACTGGAGATAACATACCACCACACATCACATCTGTAAGTTCTATAACATCCCAATTAAAATAGTTTATGTTAATAAAATAATGCATGCTTACACTTGATTTATTTTTTAGTTCAACGAGGTTAAGCTGACAGAGATAATAAAGAACAGCATTGCTTTGGCTGGTTATGATAAGCCTACACCGGTACAAAAATACGCGATACCGATTATCATTGGACGTCGTGACGTTATGGCCTGTGCCCAAACGGGGTCTGGTAAAACAGCGGCCTTTTTAGTGCCAATATTGAATCAGATTTATGAAAGCGGGCCACTTCCACCGCCAGCGCTTGGCCCTTCTTCTGGCAAGCGTAAACAGTATCCACTGGGTTTAGTATTAGCACCTACAAGAGAGCTTGCTACTCAGATATACGACGAAGCAAGAAAATTTGCGTACAGATCGCGTATGCGCCCTGCTGTTGTTTATGGTGGTTCAAACATAGCAGACCAAATGCGAGAATTAGATCGTGGCTGCCATCTTCTTGTAGCAACGCCTGGTCGCCTTGTAGATATGCTGGGACGTGGTAAAATTGGCTTGCATAATTGCCGGTATGTAGTGAATTTTTATTAAATTCGGGCTTTATCTCCGCGGGTCCTTACGGTTAACTGTTTCGACGTTAACGTATGTTTTAGATATTTAGTATTGGATGAAGCTGATCGTATGTTGGATATGGGTTTCGAACCACAAATAAGACGTATAGTCCAAGAGGATAGAATGCCTCCGACCGGTGAAAGACAGACACTCATGTTTTCAGCTACTTTCCCGAAAGAAATACAGATATTGGCTAGGGATTTCCTTAGTAACTATATCTTTTTAGCTGTGGGCCGTGTTGGTTCTACATCTGAAAATATTACTCAGAAAATTGTATGGGTAGAAGAACACGACAAACGTTCTAATTTGCTTGACCTTCTTCAAGCTAGTAATGCCAGAGATCCTTGTAAGTTGCAAAAATTAGTGTATACGTGTAATCCTAACAGGCTGTATTGTATAGATGTAACATAATTTATCGCACTGATACTTTAGCTGCCGAGTCATTGACTTTGGTGTTCGTTGAAACAAAGAAGGGTGCAGACATGTTAGAAGACTATTTGGCTGAAATGGGCTACCCAGTTACTAGTATTCATGGTGATCGTAGTCAGCGTGAACGAGAAGATGCATTACGTCGTTTCCGCGCTGGTGTAACGCCAATACTTGTCGCGACTGCCGTTGCTGCCCGTGGACTCGATATTCCACATGTGAAACACGTGATAAACTTCGACTTACCAGGCGACGTAGAAGAATATGTCCATCGTATCGGTCGTACCGGTCGTATGGGCAATTTAGGTTTGTTTCTTTTTCCTCTTTTATTTCGATTCTATTTTACATGTGTGTGATGATAATTTTATTCCCACAACAGGTCTTGCAACATCATTTTTCAATAGTAAAAATCATAACTTGGTGCGCGATTTGGTGTCTTTGCTTAATGAGGCTAACCAAGAACTTCCATCATGGCTGGACCAAATGTGCGGTGATGTAAGATATTCTGGAGGTGGATCCCGACGAACTGGTGGAGGTGGTGGTAGTACTAAAGGCGGCCGATTTAGCGGATTTGGTGCAAGAGATTATCGCCAACAATCTGGCTCTGGACCTACTCGTAATAATGGTTCCTCCAACAGACCAGGCAGTTACGGAGGTTAGTTGGTAACTAACTAAATCATTCATTATTTTAAATTCAATTAAAACTCTTTAGAATTGATAAGAAAGTAAAAGCTTACGTATTATATGGATCGCTTTTATTTCTATAGGAAATTACGGCAATTACGGAGGTAATGATAGTAATTCATCATTACCTCCGCACAATAATTCTGCTAACAACGGCAGCATAGTTGGCTCCGATTATTGGTGGGAGAAGCCATGGCAGAAGTAAATCACCATCATCTCAATTTCCACTTTTACCATTATTACTACTGTACACGTAAATTCAAATATATGTAAGAAAGACACGTACGACATACATCGGATACAACACGCACGTATCTGCGCGCGTATTACATATACACTACAAAAGACAGACAGTATCACGTATAAACACATCACGTTCGCTGACTGCCTGAGCACTACAATTTTTCGAACGAAAAAAAAACTGTTTATTCAATTCCACAAATACTTTTATTCGTGTGCGACGAAACGTTGGCAAATCCCAAGTGCAATTCCAGCATTAACATCTACGAAAGCGAAACGGAATAACGTGGACGATAATGATCCCGCTTTGAAAGCACTCGGTGAGTGATGATAAAGATTTGTCAGGCATTAAATACAGATGTAATAAGATCCATCCAAAGTTTCGTTGCCGTGCGTGTTGAGGAACACAAGTAGTATAATCACTAACGAATCAAATCGTGAATGTCTAGATAGGACGTTACGATACAACACATAGTAGGTGAAGAAACTTAGTGAAATTGTTTAGAACTCCTGTCGAGACTATGGAGCTCGTTGTGGCTTCATTATTTAAATTTTTGGAGAATGTGATGGGCGTATCTTCGAGAATTGTGGCGTCTAGATTCAAGTAATTATATAGCTTTAAATGCACAAGTGCTTCATTACTATTGCCTGAATGGCCAGTAACTTGTGTAGTTTCAATTAAACTAA